GTATTCTCTGGCTATTGAGTGGCACTGGAGGATCTAGGGAGGGGCCTAGGGAGCAAGTGGCTCGGCTTCCGAACATGAAATTTAGTATTCTCTCCGTTCCAAAATTAACTTCTCACTTTCCTTTTCGGGCAGTCCCGAAATTAACTTCACACTTCAAAACTTTCCTTATTTGGCAAATAATATAAATCAAAAAAGTGCCAAACAGTGTCAAACAGTGTACAAACAATGTTTAAACAGTGCAAAACCGTGCACTCCACAGTAAAGTCAATATTATTTTCTTAATCTGTGTGAAGTCAAACTGAGAAGTTCATTATGGGACGGAGGGAGTATTAGTACTTAAGATAAAAAACTGTGCCCCTGCTATCCGGGCAAAAAATTAGAGTATTTTTCATAAATATTACCGGAATATAACTAATGAATAGAATCATGTTCACTAAAATTGCTATGGTAGTACCTAAGTCATATTTTTGTACACTATCTTTATTTCAACCATATTGTCATAATTTCAAAAAACTATTAGAAATATAGGACTCCGTCAAAGACATATAATAATTGTAGTAAGAAATATAAATAATTTTGAAGTTGTGATGTAGCACATTCTTATAGTTAGATATGTAGTTATATGGTTACTTCACTTTCTTTGAAAAGTGGCATTGATGACTTTTTACTTGTTGTGAATAATGTCGATCCAAAGTTAAAGTTCAAAGATATGAAAAAGGTTCTAATATGCGGGATAAACTTAAAAGATTGAAGACTTTTATCTTGAATAAAAGTCAATACATGAAAGAATGTATCCATTAGCGATAAATTAGTTTCAAACTGACAAACCCTTTAAATTTTTCTATAATATGATACTCGTAAAGGTAGATATATATAAAATCATATTAATAAATAAAGTTGTATTAAATGATAAAATCATAAACTTGACTTATACTTCATTTTTAACACGATGATATTATATTTCATTCAAGTACCAACAAATTTTGTGGCACAATGTATAACAGCGACATGATCCTAGTTCAAATATGAAATCTTGATCATTTTATAGTATGAAAAATAGCGAAAATTTTAATGTAAAATCATAAACTGCACAAAGATGATTCATTTCTAATCCGTCAAATTATGAATAATTATGTCTTTCTTTCCAAAAGTCAAATATTATTGTTTAGAATTGTCTTAATGAGTTCACAATTAGATTTATAATCCATATATGTTCACTTCTTGTCGTCGACATTGAATAATCTATTTCCAGTTAAAAATATTAATTTGAACGCACTTAACAAAAAGACCAATGATACACGTAATTCGGCCCGGCCCGACCCATTTTCATCTATGTTGGAGTGCCCTTGGTTCGGGAAACTTCTGGGTCCGCCACTGGTGAGTGGGGTTATGAATTGTGATTCTAGGGCAAATATATGTTCTTCATCCCCTTCGAATCTTTACTTTTATATCGGATAACAAGTAATAACTAGATAACTTTTTTCATAACTCCATCTTATCCATTTTATCTTCATAATGTCTTGTTTTCCCACATTTGGAAATGGAAATTTCTGCACCTTTTATACGCTCCTCATTTTTTCTAAAAAAATACAAATCATTTGTGCACACAGTGACACAGATAAAAAAAAATGGATGACACCCCATCCCTGAGGGCCCCCCAACACCGACCGGACAACACGATGAGAGAATGTAAGTTGGACTATAATCACAACCTGACAGATAGAGAGTGGGGGCTCCGTCCCCGGTACTTGCAGAGACCCTATGCATTTTTCAGCATAGTAACCTCTTATCGCAGTTGCCGGGATTCGAACCCGAGACCTAACCCTTGTGGCACTCCCTCGCTACCAATTGAGCTACACCCACCGGTAAAACAAGAATGTAGACGGTGATGTACACAAAGCAAGGCTCTTTCAAATTTAATTTTCATTTCCAAGATGGATTCTTTTTTTGCCGAGCTTTCTAACCTAGTATTGTATGTGTTCTCTGTTAGGTTAACAGAATCCGCTATCATCAATCAGTAATATAAAAAAAATAAAGATAAAATAAAAAGATCTCTATTAAGGTTAATATTCTTGAACTTGGTTAATATTCTTGAACTTCAATGAGATTGGAATATCCAAATATGTGACATCTTCTTTGAAAGTGTTACAATAATGACATCGAACCATAAAATACTCATTCAGTAAAGATAAGACAAATTAGAAATACTTTTTTTCTTTTTTCTTTTTTTTTTAACCCAGAAAGGCCACTTAAAGTGGGGAAAGCGCCGGGGAACACTTTCCATATTTATTAAAACATTAAAGTACAAAATCAGAGTTCAAAATGAAAAGTACAAGACAAAAGTTAGTAAATTAGTAAATATAAGATAGATTAGAAATACTTCAATTGTATAAATTTTTATTTTCTTGTGCTCATAATCTGTCAATTTCGGAAGCTATCAATTCCAAAGTCTAAAGTTAAAATTTATCAAGTTGGTACCTTAGAAATGGAACAACCCGCTAATTTTTTGAGTGGGGTCCACTTTCGATTTGGGTCGGGTCAAAGTTGTTTCGGATTGTCCTTGCTTAGGGATCAATTCGATATATGGTACGCTCAAAACGGATAACGGGTGAATGATAAATTGATTCTTGAAGTTCACTCGTTAAAATAGAGAAAACTAGGAAAAGATGGGTTTCTAGTGTGGTTATTTCTCACACCGGAAAACCCAAGGGAATTTTAACCCCTTATAAAGGGAAACTCGTTCTAAGGAGTTAAGATTCGTAAGTGGAAAGGCTCTCTTAACACAATGCCCAACGACATTGATATCCAACGTTCATATGCCTTAAACAGCCATTAACACACCCAAATCCTCCCCTATAAATTGGCTAGCAGGTGCTTTACAACACACACGTTCATACACTTCCTTCACGTACTTTTCAGAGCTAAAAGCACCTTTACCATTCCACAAACTTCCTTTGTGTTCTTGCTTTCTTCCAATTCGCCGGAACAATCGTTTGAGTGCTCAAACGGTTGCTCGTTAGTCGTCGTATCCTAGACTTTGTGAGGCAACAAATACATTTTAAGGAAACCGTGCGTAGCACGAGCTTTGGCTATATTCTGCTTTATCCATTTTCTGTTTTTCTTTACTCATTTAATTTAATTAATTTTTATTAATTAATTTTCTTTATTTTTCGAAACACACCCAACAACGACTTGGGGCAATAAGGAAAATGACCAAATTTACACCCAAGTTATTTGATTTATTGACGGATGTGTGTTGGGGTTTGCGTTAGGGTTCTTGCGAGCGGCGACAACATGAGACTGAAAATGACAAAAAAAAAAAAAGCAAAAACAATAAATGGAAAATGATTGAAAGTTTGAAACAGGTCAATCGCTTCATGTTCCTCTGAGCCCAAGTTTTTGTATTCACATGGCTAATTCGTAGCTCTTGGTTCACGGTTTATGGCTTTTTTGTTCTTCCCCCACCGGAAAAGTAGGTTGAGCATCTCCTTCTTCGGGGTGTTTGTCCTCTTTCGAGATCGTATCTTCTTCCCCACAATTTCCCAAGTTCGATGCATAGGCCGGTTGACTTTCCGAGACCATGTAGGCAAAATGATATGCCGGGATATGAGACCAAGGAGGTGAATGAGAGAGACAAGAATTGTGTGTGCACAAATAATTACACTTTGACTTGTACGTTGCCATGTTCACATGTAACGAGACATTTACAAAAAGCAAAATTCAAGTATTTTGGAAAGGCTTAAAAGGAAATGTTGGGGAAATTTTAGCGGACGGAGAGAATATTTTTTATCATTTTTTGTATCTAATTTAATAATTTTGTATTTCACACATCCTATATGACTTCTCTTTGTAACATCTAATATGAATGTTCTTGTATGACTTCTCTCCATCCTGTAAAGTTATATCTACTTTCTATTACGTTTTTTATTTAAAAAAGATGATTATGTTATTGTTATTAGTTACAAGGGTGAAGTGGTGAACATGCCAAACAATTCACAAAGGAATTCAAATATACCATTGCCTAATGTCATTTTTATCACATCCTCAAAACTACTCAAAATTGTAAAATCATACACAAACACTACTCCATTGCAACAAGTGATCCAAGAATTAATATATGCAAGCATAAATAAAACTGTGCCGTCATGCACAACTATAGTTGCGCGTGTGAGTTAGGGGTGGACTGGAACTGGACTACCCGGCCCGCTACCCAACCCGGCCCGCTACCTGACCCGGCCCGCTACCCGACCCGGCCCGCTACCCGACCCGGCCCGCCACTATGCAGGCCAAGCCTGACCCGGTCGACCGAGACCAAACTAGGCCCGAGACCCGACCCGGTAAAAGACAGAGGCGGGCATCGGGCTCCTGTTTTAGTGAACCAGTCGGGCCAGGCCCGGACTGGACCTAACAGTAGGGATGGACCCGGGCCGGGCCGGGCGGGCTTTTTTTCCAATTACATGGGCCCGGAACCGGCCCGGTTCAATGTTTAATTTTTTTTTTTTGCTTTCTTGTTATCCCCCGACCCCCCCTCACCCCCACCCCCCAAACCTCCCCAAAACACCCAGCCCTACCCTAGGAAAAGAAAAAAATTGAAAAAAAAATTGAACCGGGCCCGGCCCGAACCGACCCGCCCACACGGGCTAAAAGCCCGGAACCGGCCAACCGGGCCCAGTCCGGTCCGGGCCCGCACAGTTGCGGGCCGGTCCGGTTCCGGGCCGGCTCGGCCCGGCCCAGTCTACCCCTACCTAACAGTAACCAATTAATTTTTTTCCCTTGCATTGGGCTGGCTGCTAGGTTGGTGGGGCTGGTGGACAGTTTGGGGGTTGAGTGGGGGGTTGGAATTGATTCGAAAATACAAAAGTAACAAAAACTTAATTAAGGCCCGACCCAAGCCCGGACTGAAACCGGGTCAAACCAGGCCGGTACCGGGCTTGATGTTTTTGGACCCAGAGCTCGTTCAATCCCGGCCCGGACCTGACCCAGTCCACCCCTAGTGTGAGTTACATATGTACTAAGCTTTACATATTCACAGCCTCCAAACAGCTGAAAAATAGAACAATCATACACAAACACTCTTTTAATCGCATGAAGTTAAAGAAGTATTAACCAATAAAATTAAACCTCCCAACTTTCAGTTGAGTTTCTGAGTAACATATGTACTTAACTTTATATAGGTTCTATTACCAAATAATCATGACAAGGGGACACGAAAAAGCACCATGGCAAATACATCTGATACGTCGGATATTACAGCATGATTGGATAATACAGCTCGCAAGGGAAAGACATTTCCCTGAAAAGGTTACATGAAAGATGGTTGCATTCACCAAGATGATGACATCCATTAGATTCACACCTGGGGCATCAGAATTGAGACTTGTCCAAGCTGTCAAAGTAGGGATGATCCAGAGCAGCTTTAGCTGAAATTCTATCAGCTGGATTATACTTCAACATTTTCTGCAATTATTACTATTTGTTAGTTTGCTTCTGACTTGGGATCACAGAGGATAAAAATATTTCAGTGTTGAAAAGAGAAATTACTGATAGAAGGTCAACGCCCTCCGGACACATTGATGGAACAGCCCGAGCCAAGGTCTGAGGCTCCCATTGTGGGTAGACATGCCAGTCCCTAAGAGAACTCACCCCAGGCCACTGTTGTTCTGTTGGTGTTCCTAGCATCCTGCACATGTATGTAAGTTGTCAAATTTTCTTAAATTGGGAACAAGGAATTCAAGGGTCGGTTTTTGTTTGGAACTCTTTAGGTAAAGAAAAAACGAAAATCTAGAGGGAGGCATGGGATTTGTTTGGAATAAACAACAGTGGTAAGGATCGCAAATGAGACATTGGCTCAAACTCAATTTATTTAAGTTTTATTTGTTCAGTTATGTTTCCTTTGGAAAAAGAATAAGGAATTGAAAACGTATAAAGTTTCATAAACAATAACCACTTTTAAATTTCACTGTCCTGACTAAACAATAACCACTTGTTTTTATAAGAGCAAAAAGGTTAATTAAAAGCTATTAACAAATTGTGTTGCAGTTTGTGAAGACTTAACATGCAAAGAACAAAGGAACCACATAACACAACTCCATTTCAGTAATGATACCTGAATATGTGAAGCAGTTGCTGAAACTCAGAATCCCCAGGAAACAGAGCTTGTCTCCTTACCATTTCAGCTGCAACAAGATGCAGAAGTGCCACATAGATAAGCAGGAGCAGATGATAGAATAATACAAACGGCTAGAAATGTTATGTTCTCACAGAAAGACGTGTCCCCCGAATGGAATGAATTCCACTGAATCTTCTGAGGTGATGTTTAAAGTTTAAAGTTTTTGTGGATATATTTGGATTGCTTAGTATGTTATGATACACATAGAAATAAATGAATAAATAAATAAATAAATAAATAATATATAAAAAAGAATTTGAAAAAATGTTAAAATTTAAGTATTGAGTTTATAACAATATTTTAATTTTTACATTTTCTAAACATTTTATTTCCCTAAAAAATTTCTCACTTTACATTCCCAAACATATCCCACATTCCAAACTAACCCTGAAGGAATTCATTCATGATCTATCAGGCGATCAATTTAAATGCCGCCAAAAGTCAGAATTTCATTAGAAAGCCAGAGCTGATCAAAGAGCATAACCAAATAAAGTTGAAAGATGCAATACCGATCAAACAATTTACTAATCAATCTAAACCTATAGAAACATACCGAAAATGCAACCAACAGACCACATATCAACAGCCGTTGAGTAGTGAGTGGATCCCAAAAGAACTTCAGGGGCTCTATACCATAAGGTCACAATCTGGGGTTGAATCATAAAGCAACCATACTATCAATACCAACTGAGATTAAGAAATTGATAACAGACAATCGTATGTGAAAAAACACAAACCTCATGAGTGTAGCTCTTGAGTGGCACTGTGAATGCCCTGCCCAGGCCGAGATCGGCAATCTTGAGTATTCCCTTCTCCTTGTCGACCAAAAGGTTCTGAGGCTTCAGGTCTCTGAAACAATCAACGAAGAATCACAAACCTTTCCAGGTGAATCAATTTGGGGTGAAATCGGAATGTCAAATCGAATTGAATCAAGTACCTGTGAAGAACACCGTGGCTATGGCAGTGGGCAACACCCTTGCACAACTGAAAAAGGAAGCTTTGGATCTGGGAAGGCGGGAGCGGCCTGGGATTCGGGCCTTTGCGGTGGGAATCGATGAATTTCTTGAGATCGGTGTCCAGATACTCAAAGACGAGGTAAAGCAGAGGCTTCCCATTCTTCTCGACGTGCTCGACGCAGAGGAGGCGAACGACGTAGAGGGAGTGGGAGAGCATTTGGAGGAGGGAAATCTCACGGAGAGCGGTGGGAGGAATCCCTTCCTCATCCATTTCCAGCCGCGTCTTCTTCAGAGCCACCAGTTGTCCCGTCGCCGTGTCCTTCGCCTTATACACCTTCCCGTAGGTTCCTTCACCGACCTTCTCTAGCTTCTCGTATTTCTCCATTTCTCTCCTGTCTTTCGATCTTTTCTCCCCTTCTCCTTCCACTTCAGAAGGGATTTTTCTATTTGATCTTCTGTAATGCAAATCTCTGAGGGTTTCTGGAATCGGGTCGTTTAGAAGGCCATTCGATTGGCACGTGCTTCCCTCCTCTTCCTTTTCAAATTTGAATCCTATCTCACGTGCCAGTTCTTGTGCCAAGGACTACACAAGAATAACCTGAATCCGCATAACCCGCCCGACCCAATCATATTCGATCATATTTAATCGGGTATTTGATTTTTAAAAATACTAATAGGTTAAATATGTTTGAGCCCGCATCTAATGTGTAGGGTTGCAGAATTAAAATCTTAAACCCGATTGTACCCGATCGGCCGAAGTTCATTCTACTACTCCCTCTGTCTCAAATTGTTCTGCAAAGTCAACATTTTTTTGTCAACCAATAATAAAAGTCAACCCTCCCAATCGATAATTAACTCAATTGTTATTAATTAAAATTGACATATTCGAAAACTATATTAAAATCTCTTCAAAGTTGCAAACTCTAAATTAGAATATAATTAAAAATTGACATCCTAATTTTGCACATGTTGCACTAAAACTGTTTCATGTTGCACTAATATTTGACGGCGTTGCACCGAAATAGCTTCATGTTGCACTAGACACGTGTAATACAGATTTTTCAGAAGTATTTACAGAAATGGCACCGTGCTAGATTGCATATTTTAGTGCATCATAAAGTGTCTTTTACTGCAACTTAGTCAAATCCAATGGCTGAGATTCATTCTCATTTCTCACCCAAAGGGTTCTTCTCACTTGAACCTTACCCTATATATATATATATTGAAAATGTTTAGTACAAAAGTAATTTTGATAGTCTGTTACAATCGGATGAGACATAAAATTGAAAATTTTCAGAGGAAAGATGTGAACTCCTCTATCAATATAGAAAGTTCCACTACTTAACCAATAATCAAGACTAGAAAAAGTAATAAAGTTATTCCGCGATAGAAAACAAACAATAAAATTTCAATGCCCGATCGATTCTACCGATGACAAATACACAAACTCTAAAACATCGCAAATTGCATAAAATAACTTGAAAATACTTTTGAATTGAAGGAGATAACTTTTCATCTTTAGGACGAGAAAAATGATTGAGAAAAAGGGAAGAGAAGGAAAATGGCTAGGGTTTTTGCCCTTCACCACTATGGATGGCCCAGGACCGGTCTGACCGGCCCGCCATTGTGCAGGACCGGCCCGACCCGGTTTCCCGGGACCGGGACTGGGCCTAGGACCGACCCGGGGGTGTTGAGGGGACGGCCTCCGGGGCTGAATAATTAGGGGCCCCGGTCGGTCCGGGTCTTTTTAGTTTTTTTTTTTTGGTTTGGGCCTATGGTAGGTGGTCAGGGTTAGATGTTTTGGCGGGATTTGTGGGGTGGGGGTGAGGGGTTGGAATAAATAAGAAAAGCTAAAAAAAATTAAAAGAACCGGCCTGACCCGGTTCCGGTAGATTCCCGGGCCGGTGCCGGGCTTCACCCAAAAAAAAAACAAGTAAAAAAAAACAGTTCCGGTGCCTGACCCGGAACTGGACCGGACCCGGTCCACTCCCCAAGTCGAGAAATCATACACTCATACTCGCTCTTTAGTGGAAACATCAACTTTTATTAATTCAAAACAGATACTAAAAACTTTTGAGTTCGACTGACAAAAAACTAAAAATTGCTCCTAAATATGTTCAACAATTGTAATGATACCGATTACTCTAACAAAAAGAAACTTGAAATCTTGAATCATTGATCACTACTCCAACTTGAAGTTGTCATCAATAAAAAAGAAAAGAAAAGAAAAAACTTTCATTTAGAGTCCGTTTGGAGAACTCTGTTTTCTGCTTATCAGGCTTATCAGCCAGCTTTTTCACCAAACACGTAACTTTTACTTTCGCGCACTGAATTGTGTAATAAGCCGAAAAAGTAAGGTTGGAGTTACTTTTCTGGCTGTATTGGCTGAAGTTACTGTAGAGGACCATTTTAGCTATTTTTACATATAATTTTTTCTTTAATTTATTAATAAAATATATTTTTAAAATATTTTTTTCTTAAATCAGCATAATCAGCCAAAACAGCCACTCCAGCCAGAATATCATAAATTTCAGCAGAATCAGCCAAAACAGCCGATTTTGGTGCTACCAAACGGGCTCTTAATCTTTAGTTCTTTACACAGTTCGTCTATGAGTTTATTTTGATCCAAGGAACAAAAAATTATCCAATCGAATTAAGCTAGCATGCAATGATGCAATCCACCACTTTAGGAAATTATTGTAAATGAAGACCATATAATAAATCCATCTAAGAACACAGAATGTCTATGGTTCAAGCAGAAGACGAGTTGCAAACACCAATCTAGGATAGATGATAAGCCTGTCGAAAAACTCAAAAAATAATGGTGTAGTTATGAAGAATTATGAAAACTCATTCCATCTAAACGGTTGTTATGCCCAATTTGTTAAACGTACACTTATCCCCTAGCTAGTTCTCTATTTCTATCCTTTCAAAATTATTACGGAGTATTTTCCTATTCTTCAATGAAAACATTATGCATTTCATTTTTTATTTCTAGTTATATATACACATTTACAAATTCATTTTTTATTTATAGTTATACATCTTTACAGATAACAGATTCATTTTCTTTTTAAACCTAAATATACATTTTCATATTCTTTTATAAAACTCCCTAAGTCAATAACTACGTACAAATATGACTATAAACCATGGGGCCCAATTGTGTGTAATATAGGTTTAACTATGTGTTGTTGTTAAGTCCTCGGGCTTTTAGAGGAGTCTTCTTAGTAGATTCGTGTAGGTGAGGGTTTGAGACAAGAAAGAGGTACAAGTATAAGCAAGTAAATAAGAGGCAAAGTGGACCCAATTCTATTAAACAAAGTCATTAGAATGGCCCCAACACTCATACTGAGCCCGAGCAAAGAGCCCGAGCCCCTAAACCAAGCTTAATGCTACAGAAGAATTAGAAAAAAGTCTATTGTCAAGAATACAATGAAGTTTGTCAACCTTTTACAATGAAATAAATGATTATTTATACTACAAGGTAGTAGGTGGAGGGGGTGACGTCCCCAACCACGAGTGGATAGCCCTCTAACCATAAATTTTTTCATATCTGGTGCATTAAATGTGCTTCCCGCCAATTCCAGGTTTCAAGCGGATTGGGTTCCTGCAGTATTTGGGTCTGATCCCGGGCCTGGACCTAATCTCCAAACACTATGGATTAGTTTGCATAAAATATAATTGTTTCTATCCCGGACGGCCTGGTCCCAAAAAAATGGAACGCCTTTCCCCCCAAGTCCCCAAAGCCATTCATCACCAAAATGTTCTTTCGGCCACGTCATCACCGCACCTACCCCCTTTATAGTATAAATAGATGCATTAACTACATTGTAAAGGGTTAACATTTTGATACTCAGAGCCTTAGATAGATTATTCCTCCCTCAATCTTGTATTAGCTATTGTTCCGAGGTGTCGTTCGGCCTTTTTGTAATCAGTGAATTATTCTAATACAAGCAGGCTATTGAGTGCAATCTATTCACATTTTATATTTTATACACTTTTATACCCAATCCATCGTCATTTAATATCCAAAGCGTGTGTTAGGCTTTCGGATCTGCGGGAGTAAACCTCAAGAGTATTATTTTTATTATAAAATTTTTACATATTTAATTTTATTAAAATAATAAACTTTTGTGAAGAAAAATACATCAAAAGTTTCGTATTATTAGAAACTTAAAAAATGGATTAGAATATCAGTAGTTATACTCCGTATTTTGTTCAACTCCAAATCTAAATTGTTCTAGTGCACGTGATTCCTAAGGATGTTTTTAATTGAACTAGTCTTTCACCCGTGCGTTGCACGGGATAACAAAGTAACTATATAATCATTAAAAATTATTGAAATTTACTAATTTAACTATTAATCTTGAATCTTTTCCCATGAATCGTACCTTGTTGACAAATTAACATAACATTCCGTAGAAAGGGACATAGCATCAAGTTAGGCAAGCTTCTCCAACTGAGTACATATACTCTAATCAGGGCCGGTTCCGAAGAAATGTAGACCCTGTGCGAGAATAAAATTTAGGTCTTTTTTCAAATTGTAACACAAGCAAATTGTCTTAAAGTACAACTTACGAATAAATTTAATGATAAAAATAGTCATTAATAACTTACAATTTATTTAAAAAGGAACATTCTTCAAGCATATTTAGATTTACGCATGGGGATTTTGGGCTGGGGCGTAATACTAATTTTTTTTTTGGGCCCTTCAAAAATCCGGGCCCTGTACGGTCGCACTGGGCAGCCATGCCCTGGGCCGGCCCTGACTCTAATGCTTCTTCACCGTTGTTACATATATCAATCTTAATTGGTAAAATTTCAGTCTTCACTCTAATGCTTCTTCATCATTGTTACATATATCAATCTTAAATGGTAATATTTCAGTCTTTTCATTCTGTTCGAGGGTTTTTTCCTCTCATTGTTCTATGAGCTTAGCTATATCCTTATCTGTAATTGTAGTTTGTATAAATAGAAGCCACATGAGCACCAAATAAACATCATTGTCTCAAAAATTCTCATTCTTGTATATAGTTGTTGAAGTTTTTGTTTACTATTACTTCTCACTTGCATCTTGAAAAACTACACCAATAATCGACTAAAGATATAGTTCAACAGATCACCATAAAATAGCCAAACAGCACATGTAAATTTAAATAATTTAAGTGAACTATTTTTCCAACTATACGTCATGCTAAATAATTAGCAATTATAACTGGCACACAATTTGTACTCTATAAAGCTTAAGTTCCACATTTCATACACGGGATGTCTCAAAGTAATGTTCCTACTTGAACTCCTTTATATATTTAGTATGACTTTATTGTTCATTTACTTCTTTTTTTTAATTACCCTCGCACGCCATTATTGAATTGATTTATATTATCCTACCTAAAAACCCGTGAAATCAAATTCTGAAACTTAATTTTGAGACAGAGGGAATATCTTATTAGCTATTTCTTTAAATGGTACACAATATTTTCTATAATTTGTGGAGGTTAAACACTCATAATAGTCCCATGTA